GCCACGGCCAATCAAGTCAAGGTCGCCCTCTCAAATATGATGAAACTTCGGTCCCACGACGAGCCAGAGGTCAGAGAAACCCTGCGAAGTCTATGTATGACTCTTCTCGATGAGTGCCACGATACCTTGTCGAATTGCTCGAGAATACTGGTTGAGACCGCCATTATCCTTGACGACCTTGAAGCAAAATCATCCTTCACCGAAACATCACTCAGGGACTTGATTAGTATATACCCGGAGCTCGCAGACGAGGCGAAGGAGACCGTTTATGGCTGGCTGTCAAGTCTACCACGTCTTATGCAGGCCAGTGACGACGATATGAAAAGCAAGGCCATACATAGCTTATCAAAGGGAATGAAGCTCCTCCAAGACCTTGATATTGAGTCATCGACCGTTCAAGACACACTTGGAAATGCCTTAATCGACAGCATAGTCTCAGCGATGAATACAAACAAGCCACAGACATCAATCCAAGTGACAGATGTCCAACTACTGTCTGGGACGAGCGGTCTCATAGTAGAAGGCTCTCAAGGCTCTAGTTATCCACCAATTGTCTTCAGTCAAGAGAGCCAAAGAGGCCTTAGGGCTGAGATTGGGATGCTACTCAATGTGCTCGGGTCGAATACGACCTCTTCCGGGTTAGCTACGAACTTTCTGGAATACATACAGAACCCAGGCACTGTCAGCCAAGTAGCTGCTTTCTGGGCTTGTTTTGAATTGGTCAAGGCATCGCACCAATCTTCGGCCGACGCTTCGGAACTGTTTGATTTATCTTCATTTGATCAGGGCGACGAGGCCGAAGACATGGATCTGGTCTTCCGCGAATTATACTCCTTCTCTGTGCAGACACTGGACGCACATAGCCAGGCTTCTAGTATAGATTGGCGCTTGGAGGCGACCGCTCTTGAAGTCACAGCATATGCGGCAAAAAGATCGGGATCGGCGTTCCGCCCTGAACTTATTGATGTCCTTTTCCCTATTGTTACATTTCTTGGTTCAGATAATCCAAGTCTGCAGCAACATGGGATATTGACGCTAAACAGCATGGCTCAGAGCTGCGAATATGCAAACGTTTCCGAACTAATTGTCGAGAACGTGGACTATATGGTCAACTCGGTCGCTCTACGTCTGAATACTCTCGATATATCTCCTGCATCAACAAATGTTCTGACCATGATGATCCGTCTGGCTGGTCCTCGTCTTGTGCCGTTCCTTGATGACGTGGTGGAATCCATTTTCGCCGCGCTGGAGAACTATCATGGCTACACTAATTTCGTGGAGTCCCTGTTCTCCGTTCTCCAGGAGCTCGTGAACCAGGCAGTCGTCTCAGACATGCTTCTCCTTGATGGTCAAAGCCACTCAGGTCACAAGCATAGCAAGAAAAGCCCACAGGTGGACGGTCTCAAAGGTCTGGCAGATTTCATCTCACGGCGTCAGTCACGTAAGCTACGGGAAGATGAGGAGAGGAGAACAGGTGAAACCACGCGTGGCCATCCGACTGCCCCATGGGGCGATGAGGGGCCTGAAAAAGATGAAGAAATGTCAGGTCCTGAACCGGAAAAGGAGAAGCCCCCGAATTCCATGACATATCAGCTTCTACTTCGCATTACGAACCTAACACAGCACTACCTGACCTCCCCAGTCCCCCGACTGAGGAGGGCTCTACTTGAAATTCTCTCCAAATCATCTCCAGCTCTAGCAGCTGATGAGGATGCGTTTCTTCCTCTCATCAATGCCATCTGGCCTGTGGTTGTGGATAGGCTCTACGATGCCGAGACATTCATCTCCATAGAAGCATGCCATGCACTGTCCGAAATGTGTGCCAGCGGCGGAGATTTCCTCGCCTCTCGCTTCGAGACGGAGTGGGCGGCGAGGCTCGGCGAATGGTGCAGAAAGGTAAAACGTCAGGTTCAGGCCACCGGATCACATTCAGGGACATCTGTCCAGCAATCCATATCAGCGCCAACGGAGAGTCATATTCTACTACCTACATCAACCGGCGAGCTAGTCAAGTCAACCAGGAAGCAGACCACAGTGCTGTCCAGTGACTTGGGGCAACACGCTTCTCCAGTTCGGGTTTGGGAAGCTGTGGTAGGGCTCTTGAAGTCTATGGTGACGTACGTCAAACTGACGGACGTAATGTTTGAAGAAATATTGGTTCTACTGGCCGAAGTTATGGAGAAGAGCAGGGAGGTGAGAGAAGCATTGGAGGTCATTAATGCCGATGCTGTCTGGATAATGAGATATGATCGTGGGCTTGTGGCTCATGTACAGACACCTCTGATGGATGATGTATCATTTGCGCATATGCAACCACAAGAAGCATAGTGGATATATGTCTCGTACATAGAAGTAGTAAGTGAGAGAGCTATACAATTATGCGGCAGCTGCTGAAAAAAAAAAAAGA